ACCAGATAGATGACTGAAACAAGTCTGTCCTAATGTGACCCTAGCAACTGACATTGCTAAGTTTATCCAGTTATGATATGGAATATTCAAAGTGATTGAGACAAAGTAAAGGAAATTGCTTTTAATACTAACAATGAGACAATCTAATTTATTACCTTTCTAGCCCTGGAACCTCTATTGCAAGAGTGGGCAAAAGGGCCTCCGTGGGCTGGATCTGGCCCAACGAGTGGGTAGATCCGGCCCATGGAAGCTCTGCTGCTCCCCTGCCCCAAAGCCAATTACGGCCTGGGGGCGGGAAAGTGCCAGAAGCCTTCTCCACTCTGCCCCCTCCCTGCAAGCAACATGTGCTGCTCGCACGGCGGGGGGAGAGCAGAGGAGGCTTTGCACACTCCCCTGCCCCCAGGCCAAATACAGCCTGGGGGCGGGGAAGCTGCGTGATGCTTCCTTTGCCCCGCCCTAGCCCTGCGAGGAGCCTGCAGCACTTCAAAGCACCGTGCATAGGGCAGGGGGAGGCTTCCCACACTCCCCCAACTCCACGCCCTGATTGGCCTGAGGGTGGGGGAGCGTGCCAAGCCTCTTCCAGGGCATGGGTACCTAGTGGGAAAGGAGGGGGGTAACGGGATCCCCCGCTCCTTCTGGGGTGGCCCGGGGCTACTTCAAATATTTTTGAAGTGGCCCCCAGGCAAAAATTACTGCCCAACCCTGCTCTATTGCCAAGAAGGCCAACATTAGTAGATTTTGCACCATACAATGTTTTGAACTCATAAAACAAATTTTACATATAGTACCCTAGATTTACCCAGGATTGATCAGATTATCAACTGAAATAATTGTTTTTCTTCATTTAAATCGTTGCTCAAGGATGGGGATAATAGGTTCAACGTGCAGGCAACAAGGAGACAGGACAACCCAGCCTTTTGTCACTGCAGCAACATCACGCCAGGTGAAAAGTGCCTCTGCATGGCCATAGCAGCTGCAACAGGGACAACTGTGGCAGGAGTGGATGTCCCCTGGCTGGGAGACAGGCAGACAGACAAATTTTTTCACATACATAGTAGATAGCTATCACTTTCTCTATTCCTGATGCCTGAATGGGGTTATAGCAGTGGTCACCAAGCAGTCAATTGGGATCTACTGGTAGAGCTTGGAGCCTCTGACACATGATCCTGACTGGTTTGGCCAAGAGGCTTTCAAGCACCAGCACTTCAGCTACCCCTCCACTGCTCATCGCCTGCCCTTTGCTTTGGAGCTGCCCCTCCCATAGGGAGCCTCCTGCTTTCAGTGCAGGGCAGGGGAGGAAGAGAAGGGGCATTGATGTCAGGGTGCCCCCTCTCTCACCCTGTATTCAATCTCCACAGAGAAGAGAGGGGGCACAACAGGACTTGGGATTAAGTTTGCTGGCTGCTTTTGGGAGTGGTGCAGGGCCAGGGCAGGGGTGAGCCTGCCTTAGTCCCACTGCATCACTAACCAGGAGCCACCTGAGGTAAGCAGCATCTAGCTGGAGCTCCTATCCCAGTCATGAACCTCCTTCTATACCCCAAGCCATGAGCACCCCTGCATCCAAATGCTATTCCAGAGCCTGCACCTAGAACCCCTCCTACATCCCAATTCCCTGCCCCAAGAGCAGCTCAGAGCCCCTCTCACACTCCAGATCACTTAATCCAAGACCAGAGTCTGCACCCCAATCCTCTGCCCCAGCCTGATGAAAGTGAGGATGGAGTGAGCAGGGGTGGGGCCTCAGAGAAGGGGAAGGAAGGAGGAGGGACAAGGGTATTTATATTTGAGGTAGGTCTTGGATTGCACTTAAATTAAAAATTGATCATGTGCTTAAAAAGGTTGGAGACCACTGGGTTATAGCTATCCTGGTCCACATCATTGACCACTTCCTGCCCCCATGTGGTAATTATAGATTATAACTGTTCCTGCTAGCAGAGCCCTCCCTTTCCATATTATGAAAAACAATCAAATTCCAGGCACATCCCTTTGTCCTGGCACAGCCAAACTCCTACCTTGCTCTAAGTTATAAGATGCAGCTTCAAGCCAAATGTGGTTGTCCTAGCTCTTACTATTTAAGAGGAGTTCTTGAACAAAAACTCAATTTTGATGTCAAGTTATTATTGATGCCAACAGTTCAAATAAGTACTGTAATTACATATTGGTCTTCATGTATGAAAACAAAAAACAGGATTTTTAAAAGGAATCTCAGCATTGCAGCACCCAGCAATGCAATGCCTAACTGATTTAGAAGCATGACTCATTTCCAAAAGCGATTTAAAGACACTTTGGAACCTAAGTCCCATTGACTGTCAGTGGAGCCTGATTCCTTTTGGAAATGAGAATTATGTTCTTCAGTCAGCCCACAAACTAAGTGCTACTACATTTGTAATCTTGACCCTTGCAGTTTCCAGTACACTATACATACACTACAATGAGATACCATCAAGTGGCCATACAGAGATGACCCGTGGGATTACTAATTGATTATGAAATTTCCACCTTCACATTTATGGTTTAAGTATGAAACAGATCAGTAGTTCCCACTATTTGTTGGCCTAAGTCAAGTGAGTTGGTAGTTTCATTTCAGTTCTCAATAGATAGGTGTGTGTGTGTGTGTGTATGATGTCAGCAAACGACCATAACTGCAAACCACCAAATTCAACAAGGATGCCCAAAAATTAACACAAAAACTGAACTTCCCTCTTACTATTAGATGAATAGTCATAGATTCCAAGACCAGAAAGCACCATTGTTCATTTACACTGATATCCTGTATGAAACAGGCCAGACACCCTCCTCTAAACAGTTCCTAGAGAATATTTTTTAGAAAAACATCAAATCTTGATTTACAATGTCAGTGATCCATGACCCAGTAGACAACAGTTGTATTTTTTTTAATAGTTAATTGTCCTTATTTAGGGTTTGTCTACACTACCAAGTTTTCTCCTTGAGAACACCCAGAATGTGATTTATTGCCTTGCACATTTGCAGCAGTACAGCCCTAATGGCAGACTTCTCCACTCCAGATTGTTATGGGTCAGCTGCAAATCAATCAGGAGTTGCCAACTCCCACACAGCAATTGCCACATGCTTCTCTGTTCAGAGACAGCTCTTATTCTGGTATCCACGTTTCACTGTTCAGGGGCCAGCTCAGCACACAGCTGTAGAGTTTGCTTTACACATCCTAAAGCTCTGTAGTCACTGCTCTTCATCCCACACCTGCATGATGATGTGATCCCACCACTCACATTCTACCCTCTACAGGTGCTCTGAGAGGGACAAATGCAATGCCAAGCTGTTGCTGTGCGTATCATGCAGAACATTAGGTGCTGTGAGTCTTCTTCCGTAATCTCAAGATTAACTGTGTTGCCATGCAGGATATCCTTACTTAACAGAACATAGGAGAGAAGTGAGGGATCCATTCTCTCTCATTGCAGATGTTCGAGTATACAGCAAAGAATGGCAGTTGGAAAAGTGGTGCAAAAAGCCAGAAACCCCTGGATGTCTGGGAAACAAAGCAGTACCTAACTAGTTTTTTTTCGCATGGTCCCAAGATGTGCTGCGCTCCCTTCTGCATTCTTCCAACACTTAGTGATACATACATGGAATGCCTACCCACAGTGCATGGCTCTTTCTGTCAACAAGGGAACTAAAAATTTGGACACAATTTACAAAGGGAGCATGTGAACACACCTTGCTGATTTTTCTTTTGTCTACGATATTTTCGTCAACAAAACATTGGGTATGTTTAAACTGCTACACGTATGCCTTATTCCCAAATCAGAATTTGCTTAGCTTCAATTTCCAACCACTAGGTCATGCTAAACTTGTTTGCTACACTGAAGAGGCCAATATCAAATATTTGTTTCTCATGCAGGTACTTATACATTGTGATCAAGATATCCATTTACTTTCTCTTTGTTAAACTAAACTACATAGATTGAGCTTCTTGAGACTATCGCTATAAGGCAGATTTTCTAATCCTTTGATCATTCTCTCAGCTCTTTTCTGAACCCTCTCCAATTTATCAACATCCTTCTTAATGTTTGCATCAAATCTGGACACAATATTTTAGCAACAGGTCTCAGAGCCAAATACAGAGGTAAAAATAGCTTCACTACTAGTCAAGATTCCTCCAGTTTATGCATCCAAGAGTCACAGTCTTTTTGGCTATAGTATTACATTTAGAGTTCATGTTTCATTGATTATCCATCATGATCCCAAATTTTTTTCAGTGATTGCTTCCTGGATCTCCGGATGAGTCCTCTCTCTAACAGGGTTAGGGGAGCATGCACTTTCGCATCCTGCATTGTTCTTACCTCTAGATTAACAGAGGCCCAGCCCAGTGACAGGGGAGGGGGCAAAAGCAGCAGTCTCGGGCCTTTCAAATTGCCACCAAACCCCTGCACTGTGCATTCCAAGCAGTGCTGACAACTGTCTTGGGAAGGGGCAGTGCATCCCAGGCTGCCCTGAGGCTGCCTGAGGGAAGCTAGTCACAGCCCTGCCCCCTTCTGCCTGAAACCCACCCTTCCAGGGACACAGACCCAGGCCCACCCCCACATCTTGCCCAGGGGCCCAGCAAATCTGTTGGCCCTACTGGCAGAGGCCTTTATCTTGCAGGGCTCTCAAATTAGTTTATACGCTTGCAAAAGCTAAAGAAAAATTAAGTGTTTTAAGTTAATTTTAGTATATTTTACCAGATTAATATTTGTTAATCTATCCTACATTCCAATTTGTGAATTTCTCTACCCACACACATTGCTTTCAGATATTTATTCCAACAAAACATGGCTAACAGAAATTATTGCAAAGTGTCTGCTATTTTTCAATTCTGCTCTGACTCATGCTCCTTTTGTTCCTATTGATTTTAAGGAGATAGACTTCTGCTATTTGAAGGTCATCAGAAACATTATATAAGAAACCTTGAACATAGCTGCTCAAGTCACATAATGATTAATTTTTAAAGAATTTCATCAGTAAAGTAGAAGTTGAAAAATGCTGAATAAGAGGATTTCAATTAATTTTTTATTCTTTATACAAAACCAAAATAAATCATTGCAAACTGATAATGGACTGAAGTATCATCTCATGTCCCAGGCTGTATTCTTTTGTCAACAATGCAATCTATAGTCCAATTTTATTCCAAGATTATTCCATCTTCCTTTAAAACTATGAGGTCTCCATCTTATATCCATGTTTCTCTAGTTCAGCTCTATATTATAAAAAAAAAAAAAAAAAAAAAAAAGAGAGAGAACCAGAAGTATGAGTGAGACAATAAAATACTGACAGATATTTGCAAAGCCCTTTAGACTACGACAAGAGGCAATCAATAACCTAATGTGCTACTGTCACTTTTGATACAAATAAAAAAAATGTAATACTGCACATTTTGGCCTCACCTGCTTAACATTCCTATAAGATTTCAGCTCAATCATGCTTTTCCAACTTTTTTTTTTTAAATCTGGAGTTCGTATCCAAAAGGCTTGTTTAATTATAATCCTTGCATCTTATTAAGTCAGGCAGGTGCTTTTTTTCACCCCATGTTTAAGACAATAAAACTTCATTAGAAATGACAATACAGAACATAGGTTTCTCCTGGTAACTCTTCACAAGAGCTCATTATGAACAATTAAATCTGTTACTAGCACAGATTTTTTTTAAAGAAGGCCAACAATCTAGGAACCAAGCTAAAGTTCTTTTTAGAAAGCCAAACACACATTTTTACATTGCAGTCATCAGTACAGTATCTTTGATCCTCTTAATATACAGAAGGTCCTTAATCTTGTAAGCAGACCCACTGACTTCAATAGCACTATACATGCTTAAAATTAGATATGTATTGAATCAGAGCCCAAAATGAATAAAGGTCCTGTTTCTGCAGTTCTTACACCGGCATAACTTCCACTCAACTTGTTTTGACTGATTAAGGGCTTCTCTTCAAAGAGCTTTACAGATGGATAACTGTGATAGTTTAGATAAGGAAGAGATCTGAACACACAAAGAATCAATCTTTGTAAAGACAAAAACAAAAAGCAGTCATGTAGCACTTTAAAAACTAATAAGATACAGTAATTCCTCATTTAACACTATAGATATGTTTCAGAAAATGATTGTGTTAAGTGAAAACATGTTATGCAGGGTCAATTTTCTCACTGAAAATAATGGAAAAGGTGGGGGTTGTGTTTCAAGCAGTGGTGTCTGTTGGGACCAAGACATAAGGTTGGGGGAGAAAGGGGATTGGGTTACAGCAGGGAGGGGAGGTGTTTGGCTCTGGGGAAGGAAAGGGGAGGGGAGGAGGATTGGGTTGGGACTATGCTCCTGTGGTCCGCCAGGACCCGCACTGTGTCTGGCAAGGGGGGGGGGGGGGGGGCGGTGGGGGGGGAGGGGGCCGAACCCTCTGCCGCTTTGCAGGGAAAGCCCTGCGCAGCTGCCGGCAACAGGCCAGCTGGGGAAATCGTGTTATTCCGGGGATGGTCGTGTAATTCAAAAAATGTTCTCCCCAAAAAAATCGTGTTATTGCAAAAATGTGTTAAGCGGGCACGTGTTAAATGAGGAATTACTGTAGTTTATTAGGTGATGAGCTTTCGTGGGGCACACCCACTTCTTCAGATCATATTCTGAAAGTGAATTGGCATGACCATTATATAACAGGGATACAATGAAAAAAAGTAAACAAATTACAAACTAACAAATCAGCTACATAGAACAGAAGGTGGGGGTTAGGGAACAAAGAAGAGATAAGAAAGGAGGAAATTGCTTATTGTAAAAGTCAATTAAGTGGAGTTCCAACAAATCTTTGTTGACAAAATCTAGAAGCAAGATTGAAGTTCCATTACTAAAATGTAAGATTTACTTTTAGGACACTAGTCAGTTGTGTTTCAGGATGGCTGAAACATAACAGGGATACCCAGCAGATTGTGGTAGAGGAATACTGTTCCTCCCTAAGACTTGAGTCTTTAATTTTAATAGAGATGAGGACAGATTATAAATACTTTACTACAAGATTTAATTAAGGTTAGTTTTCACAGTTGTACGTACCATATATTGAACCTTCTCAGACAGCTTTTTCTGACACACTTTGAGGATTCCTGCTACATTATTGATAAACACTGTCCTTAGAGCAGGGTTTCCCAACCTATGGGTCAGGACCCAAATATGGGTCGCCATTACATTTCCAAAGGGTTACCAAGTGTCTCCCCAAGTGGCTCTGCCCTCGTTACTCCCTCCATTTTTGAATTGCCTTGGGTCACCAAGTCTTCCTGAATTGTCAAAATGGGTCCCCATCTGGAAAAGGTTGGGAACTGCTGCTTTAGAGTGATAATATATTTAAGACCTGCAATTAACTTGAAACTGACAACAAGCAATTACGCCAACAGGATTTACTTTGATACCCTCTACCAGAGGGTCACCTTAACCTTGTTTCTAAAACAAGGGAGTCAGTCCAGTAACTATCTCAATCAAACTACAGCACAGATATTTTGTTATGTTTACAACCTAAGGAGGGGTGTGTTTTAAAACACAAGTTTGTATTGATGAGTCAAACTCCTTAAATTATAGTTAAGCATCAGTAAAAGGTTAACATAGAAAGTAGAATTAAACAACTGGATTAGAAGTGCTCCTGTCCATAGACATTTAAAAAAGTGTTTTGGTAATTTTTCCTCCCTGTAACAAAGTCTAAAACTGCCACTCAAACTTTCTGGGAATTACTTTGCTAAATGGCTTTTTGCTGCCAGATGACGACTTATCATAAGAAAACTTTTTGTGAGAACACAGTAGTACTGACAAGTCTTTTGTCTGGAAAGGATTCTCTGTTCAGGATGGAAAGTTTTTGAAATCCTGAAAAACTGTACAGGATGAGAAAGTTTGATTAAAGCAGAGCAGGAAAAGACACACAGGTGACTGAGGGTTACTTCATTGTTATAGCATGACACTAAAGTACAAGGGCTGGTCACAAGTAGTAAGGCTAGCTTGCTTATGACGGCAAATGTTGCTTTTAAAAAACTCTTTGGACCACTTAAGTAGTTATTTGCTCTGGTTTTTCTTTCAAATTTTTTTTCAAAAAACTGAACATTTTTTTAAAAAGTCCAAGATTTCACCCAACTAAAAACTACAGGTTAAGTTTTCTGTTCAACTTCTAAGTGTAAATTAAACTCCAAGATTACCTTAACTGATTGGAGAAATCATCTTCTACATTGTCATCATCCCAATTGTCTTCCCAGACATGTGCATCTTCATCTTCATCTAAACCAGCCCAGTCTAAAGGACAGAACACACACAAAGTCTAAATATTTTACACAAAGTCTGGTATCGGCAAATAGGTCTGGCCATAGGATATGCTGAAATGTCTTCAACACCAAACACTTCCTCTATGTTTATAAAAAAGTTCTGCTCATGTTAAAGTGATTACAAGAATAATAGAATCTTATAATGGTTTCAAACACCATAACTTCTTGAATTATAATTAAAATACAACTTTAAACACTTACAATCTTAGTATTCTGGATTCTATGATTATTTGTCCATAAAAAGAATATTAACTAAACTATTAACTAATTAGAGGATCTATAACAAGATGGCAAAGATAAAATGTAACATTAAGGGAAACCAGGTAACAAGTCTATAAAGACTTTTAGATAGTCTGCAATTCCTTAGGGCTGCATGGAAATATTAACTTTAAATGTTGAGTGCTTTTATTGCTAAGAATCCTCAAAAAAACCCTCTTTTACTCAATCCATTTAGACCTTCCACTTCTAACACAAAATACTGAAATTACAAGTAACTTTTCTAGTTAAAAAAAAAAAACTAGAACAAGAAGGGTACGCATCTATAATTATACAATAAGTAGCTTTACATTATTTCTAATGCTTCCCCCTCACCTTTAAAGCTACCAGTTCTATTTTTCATATAGGGAGAGTTGTGTTTTTCTATTGCTGCAAAAATAAAGATAACTTGCAATTTTACTTTTCTGGTTTTGTCCCAGTACTACAATACTGATAATAGGCAGAAGTGTCAGCTAACCTTGCACCTGGAAACTCTTCTTGGGCTTCTTATTAATATAGAAGAGTAGCAAAGCACTGCATCTGAAGTAAGTTCTCCTGGAGTACCAAAAAGGTAAATGGTACAGTACATATTTTTGACATTTGATGTCCATGGAACAGATTTATTTTATTAAATTAATATTTTAAAGGTAATATTGCCAGGTAAGTTTCAGAATTGCAGTGTTCATCTCCGATCTCCAAATGGCTGTGCAAATTTCCTCTTAGCTGTGTGGCCGCACAGCAGCCTACAAAGCACCGAACAGGTGCTTAGTGCTGCAGTGGGGAAGAGGTGCTTTGCCCCCAGCCCCAAATCTGCCACTGACAGAGAAGAGGTGCCCCTCCTCCTGAGGAAATTCTGGTGTTACATCCCATCATAATTTACAATCCGCTTTCTACCAACCGATAAAAATCAAAGCTTTCCAGCAACCACCAGAGTAGCATTGCACAACAAACGGAAACTGACTGGGAAGGGCCACAAACAGATCCTGAGGGATTGCAACTATGCTTCCTC